ACTGGAATATATTCACACTGCAAAAACTGCCATGTGGCATTATGCCCCATTGAGAACACAGGTTAGGGGGCATTTGCTTTGGTTTACTGCTTGACTAGCCATGAGGAAAACATGGATTAATTACTCTCTTTGCTACTGTGATGGATTTCTGTCATCTATCTATCTATTAATATCTACCTAATATCTATATATATCACACATCTAGTCACACATTTATTTATGCATCCTACATAAAAACATATGACAGATATAAGTGCATATCAAATATATGTCATACCTATACAAATATTAGAAGATAAATGAAATAACAGGTCAGAAGGAGAAGATTTCCCTTCCATTTCTGACTATGTCTCTTACAAGCAAAGAGATACTGGAACAAGTGAACACCCTCACCGTGCCTCAGTTTCCCTATTTGTGATGTGGGGTTCACTCCTGTACTAGCTAGAGAGGGAACTGAATGAGCAAATCCATAGCAAACTGCTCTGAAAAGTACAGAGTGCTATACAAATGCTGGGGATATAATGAGATGTTTTACAAAAGAACATTATTTCTCTGCTAAGAAGTGTACATTCACATTCGCGTTTTCTGTCTGTGAAGGTTCTTCTTTGAAATTAAATTGAGACCATAGCCAACATCCCTCCCAGTGCTGCCTGAGGTTTTACTCAAGCAACAAAGCAAGGCCTTCTTTTTATCATTCATCGCATTTGAGTTCAAGCGCCGAGAGGTACTTTTTACCAGTGGAGAAAATAGCTTTCTTTTCACAGCAGAAACACAGAAAATGACCTCCCTCTGGATGCTAATGTGACGATGAGGCTTATTCTGTGGTCGTCTCCCAAAATGCCTCGATTCAGCTTTGTCAGCGGCATGCTTCTGTACCAGGAATTTGGGAGTGGTAAGAGGGTGAGTCTGAAGCCATTGCCTCATTATTTAAGTGAAGAATTAAAATATTGGGATACATTTTCAAGTGGGAATCTTGTTCCTTTTCTCCTTTGGCTTTGAGGGCCAATTGGATACTCCCGTTTTCAAAAGTAAGTTAAGATAAAACCCCTTACGGATTCAATCAACCCTGACATCATACGTTCCTTACTCAGACACCTCTAGTGCTTTTCAATTTAAGTCCTCAGCTGGGCGTACTAGAACTTCTACAAATCTAATTCCAAATTTCCTTTCTAGCCCTTTCTCCTGCTCAATCTTCCCTCCCCCACCCCATCACCACCCCAAGCACTGTGTGTCCAATTTGCTATATCCTCCACACTGGTTTTTGGTTTTTTTTTAAGATTTGTTTGTTTATTTATTTCTGGCCGTGCTGCATCTTGGTTGCTGTGCACCAGCTTTCTCTAGTTGAAGCAAGTTGGGGCTACTTTCTAGTTGAGCTATGCAGGCTTCTCATTGCTGCGGTTTCTCTAGAGCACGCGCTCTAGGCGTGAGGGCTTCAGGAGCTACGATGCATGGGCTTGGCTGCCCCAAGGCATGTGGGATCTTCCTGGACCAGGGATTGAACCCATAGAACCTGCACTGGCAGGCCTGTTCTCAACCACTGGACCACCAGGAAGTCCTCGGTTGCTGTTCTGATGGTGTTTGTGCTTTCAACCAGGTGACTTTTCTCCTGTTCCTGCTTGTCTGGAGATGCCTCCTTCTACTAGGATGGGGCTTCCATCTCTGGCCTAGTGAACTTCTGCCCAACCTTTAAGGCACATCTTAAATGCCAATAATCCTAAGGAGCTTTCCCTAATACCCCTGATCAATTGCAATCCCTTCCCTTTCCAAATAAATTGTAATTTTCTCTGATTACGACAGCAACAAAACCTTACAACCACCCATACGTATTCTGTGTCTCTTGTCAGCATATCAACTATCATGTGCTTTCCCTACCACAATTGAAAAAAAAAAAAATTAAAAACTCCCAAAGTTAAGGATGGCTTTTATTTTTTTAACTTGTATTATGGAAAATCTCAAACATATACAAAGTCATCAGCAGAAGGCCCTGTTTATTTTTGCATCTCCTTCGGGAGCTATCATAGTGTTTTGCATGTAGCAGAAGTAAATTTAAGTAATTAGGGCCTTAGGCAAATAGAGCTGTCGGTCAGCATCTCTGACTCCACGTTTGCTGGGTGGTTACGCTTTTCCTTGGTAACACCCCAGCATGCACAACCCACACACCTGTGGGATCGCAGTCAACACGGGTTAAACCTGTTCACCAACTTTCAGATTTCGGGAAAGTGCTAATCCTCCAAGTTACATCAGACAGTCAGCAAAAAGAACTGTATTTGAGAGGATAAGGAGAACAAAATCTAGATAAGAATATTTTCTAAGAAAATTTTAATCTGGTTGTTATTTATGTGGTCTTTCAAGTAAGGCACATTTCTTTTAAACATGAAATATTTGATGGATAATCTTCAAGTACAAGGGCTCTTTACACCCATTAGCATCATAGCTTTTCTTTCACCTTGCATTATTGACTGATACAAATATCATTTTGAAGAATCCTCCCTTTATGAAAACCTCATGCCAGACCCTTAATTCTAGCACTTCAGACAGATATTTCAAAAAATTTTGTGCTCACCATGCTCATTAATTTTTGCTATTACTGTGTATTGTGTGTATGTGTGTGTGTGTGTGTGTGTGTGTGTGTGTGTGTGTGTTTGGGAGAGCAACGAAATCTTTAAAGCAAACCAGAATTCTTGAATGATAGATTACATGCCCATGCTGTGTCACTTCCAATTAACTCAAATTGACTGTACACCACGTTATTCTGTGAGTGCATGGAAGATCAATAAATATGGGGAAAATCCAGCCCAGCTCCCCACTTTCCCACCCAAGCCTAGTAGGTCTGAGGCGGATCATGCTCCTGTGATGTGTGTGCCGCAGCTCAGGCAGGCAGGTGGTGCGGAGACACCATTCAAACTTGGCCTATTCAATCCCAACTCCTCTAACTCGCCATTCATGCATAGCAAAACACCATCTGGTCCTATTTTGCCTCCAGCAATCACAGCTGACCAAAAACGATAATAACAGCTGTTGCAAAACAAAAGCCAAACAAAGGGGGTGGGGAAGGGGGGGAAGGAAAGGTTAGATGGAAGTCCAGTGCTGAAAAATGCTCCGTGAAGTGAGAAATGGGAGAGAAACCATTCAGATGTCTGAATGGACACAGCAGAGGACTTCTACTTAAACCTGAGATATTCATCCATCTGTCTAGAAAGCCTGCAAACCTCCGTCCGGTGGTAACGTATTGCAGAAATTATGCTGCACGAAGGCATTTAAGCTTCTGTTCTGTGAGTTGGGAGCTAACGACCCCATGTCAGCTAGAAAACGAAAACTCCTTATGTTCTTTCATTATAAAGCAGGACAGGTTAATGCAAAAAATAGAGAGCCTGTTTAGCCAGAGTAATAAAATAATGTGCACACGGCAGGGGAGAGAAAAGGTGTGTGTGTCGTGGAGGAGGGTATGAGGGGCGCCACGTTAATGTCCGTGGACCACTGAAGTGGGAAAGTATAGAGGTGTCCCACTAATCAGCTTCTATAATGTTCATACCTATTTTTCATTACCCTGATTCATTTCTGACTTGTAACCAAAAAAAAAAAAAAAAAAACCACACACCAAATACACCACGTACTTACTTATGTCTCAGAAACAGGAATCAATCCTATGTACAAAATGAAATACAAGTTGACTCATAATATGCTTTTAGCAGATCCTGAGAATAATATGGTAACAAGGTCGGGGAATTTGTTTCATGATTCAAGCTTTTTGACATTTTCAAGATACAGTTTTGCCTGGTGATTAATTTTTTAAACTGAAGTAATTAAGCTATTTTTTTCTTCAAATGGACCGTCAGTGGCTTAGCAACATTTAATCAGATGTGATAAAACCCAAGATTTATAAAAATCATTTAATAGATGATACAACACCTGCTTCTAACTGCAAACAGTTGAAAACAGACTTCATTTGCAATTAAGTCTTATCACTAGTGACATTTTTTTTCCAAGCAATACTTCATGGGTTTTCAAAATGACAATTACAGAACTAATACACAATTACTGTCACATGTAGTTTAGCAATTAATTTTGAAGACATTTGTCTAAAGGTTTCACAACAGAATATAAAATGGTTCTTATTGTTATGTAATGTTAGTTTCAATTCACAGAAAATCTTTTACCATCAGCTCTGCCTCTGATGGGTCTGGTGTAAGCATCTCATTTCTTTGTGGAATACAATTGCCCCCTTGTAGATGTGATTAGGCATCATTCTTAGACTGTTTGAACACTGATACCTGTCAACTAAAACATCTCATGAAAAGCTTCAATTTAGATATAAATTTTTCTACAGCCAGAAATCTATAAATTTATAATTAGAATCTCTTGCTGTTCAATATTTGTACATAATACAGAGGACGAGAGGATTATGAAATATTGAAAGCTGAATTCATTATTCATAGCCCACAACATACAGTAAATATTCTTTGAAATACAACAACAACTTTGAGGAATCCATATTCCATTATTTTTTGAATGTCTTATACACAGTAGCCATGGATACCACCACTCACACCCTCATTTTTTTTTTCCAGATTAGGATTCTGGTCAGGGTTGACACTTGCTGTTTTTAATTTTCATTTTATCATAAGCAGTTGAAGACTGTTGCCAGTGGTAATTTGCAATTTTTATCAAGACCTCTTCATTATAGCTTCTGACAGGACAGATGCTGTAATTAATCATGCAGGACAACTGGGGATAGTGGCCACAGTGTTCTCAAAGAGGGGTCACCACAGAGCAAGAAAAGGGGGGAAGAAATGGGCACTGAAATAATTATTTTGGCTTAAGAATTAGCATTCACCATCCATTTTAATAGCAATAAAGACACAATGCCAGATAGTTTGAACCCCAAATAGAAGATGATTGCTTTTTCCTCTAGACTTACCTTGCCCTTGCATCTTAATAAAATGATAATTATAAATAATCACTAATGGTTCTATTTATTTTGTTATTTTTTGGCCCCACTGCACAGTTTGTAGGATCTTAGTTCCCCCACCAGTGATCGAACTTGTGCCCTCATCACTGGAAGCTCAGAGTCCTAAACCACTGGGCCGCCAGGGAATTCCATTAATGGTTCTATTTCTAATGGTTTAGCTTCTTTTTAACAGGCCCAAGTTTGGGGCCATGCAATCCACATTCTTAGCTGTAAATCTCGCATTTTCAGCTAAAAATTGAAGATACCTGGGCTTAAAAACAGGTTGGTATGGGATCTATTTTCCCCATTTTCTACATATTCAAGGAAACACAAGTGAAATTTGACATATCATTTTATTTGAAAAGTGAACAGTTGCCTGGTTGTTGCATCAAAATACAGTCCACAGTTTTTACTGAAATGTGTTTATTCTATAGCAAGATAAAAGCATTTTTGTTTTAGTTAAGCAAAATACAAACAACTTAATTGCTGCTATCATAACTCATAAAAAAGTATAAAACAGCATAAAAACACAATAAGCAACGTAGCAATGAATGGTTTATGTCACCAGTGTTTACGTTAAAGCCTCGTTTATGAAAACTTTACAACACATGATATGAAAACTTACAACTTTGAAAGAAAATATTTACATTGATTATTCAGATGTGGTGCGCCTTTTAAATATTCTACCGGTATTACATCATAATAAAAACTCTTGCTTTTTTTTAAATCTTAACTTTTGTAATAACTGTCTTCATTTAAGTGCATTTCCCTTTTAAAAATACAGTGTTTTTAATTTTCGAAACTTGTCACTCAAAACACAGAATATAATATTCACATTCTTTTCTTCTAATTGGAATGAATAGAATGGGCTAACAGTGGTCATAGTGTTACAACATATACTGTGGTTTGGTTTGGAGAAGTCATGGATAAAAAGTGAAAAGGAGTCAATAGTTGAATCTAATCACTTGCATTTTTTTTTTCTTTTTTTTTCTGGAGAGATTTAAGGAAAAAAATAAGAGCTTTGGCAAAAGTCTGTGATTTACATTTTTTTTTTCATGACAAAAAAATGCCATCAACGATTGACGTCATACAAATGTTTGTATGAAACTGGATCTTCAGATTTCAGGTAGTTACTGACTGTGCTTTTTATTTTTAGGGCTTCGGAAGTTCCAGTCGCCTTGAAGTGGGGATTCTTCACTTCGGGAGAAATAAGGCCATTTGCTATGACTCAGAGAGGCCAGTTTATTATAGTCATCAGTCTGTCCTAGGATTCATGACACGGTTTGATTCACATATTGTAGGTAGAGCCTGAATAAATAAAAAAGCCATCACATAGAAGAGCACAGCTTTTCTTGTTTAAAAACAGAGTCGTTTCGAGATCTTTCAGCTCCACTGTTTAGTTCTTCTTGCCTATCTAATAGACACTGGAGAGAACCGCCGCGATCGTGACACCTTTCTGCACCACCACACCCCGACTCCACGAGTGGCAGCCGCCTGGGGTGTACCCTCCGACGGCCACCCTCTTCCAGACGCGGCACAAACCGCCTGCCCCGCGCGTTCGTCTTTAGAAAATACTGACCTGCGATAATACTTGAGTCTGTGTCTGAGACTGCATCTGCGACGGATGCTGCTGAGAGGCCGGCTGGGGGCTCCCGAGGCTGGGGATGGGGGACGTGATCTGGGAGGTGGCTGGGGAGTGCTGCCGGGGAGAAGGCTGGGACTGATGCTGCATGTGGTGCAGCTGCTGCAGCTGGAGGCGCTGCTGCAGCTGCTGCTGGAGCTGCACGTGGTGCTGGAAATGCTGCTGCTGCAGCTGGAGCTGCTGCTGCTGCTGGAGCTGCTGCATCTGCTGCTGCTGCTGCTGGAGCTGCTGCATCTGCTGCTGCTGCGGCGGCGGCGTCTGCACCGACGGGTTCACCTGCGCGGAGGGTGCCGAGCCCACCATGGAGCTGAGCAGCGGAGCCCCAAGGTTCGACGGCATGCTGGCGGCGATGGTGACCGACGTGACCATCGGGTTCACGGGGAGTCTCATGGTCAAGGGTTTGGGAGCAATCGACCGAGGCAGCGACGGCTGGAGAGTCTGAGGGGAGGCGGACACGGTTCCGTGCTGAGACAGCGGAGGGTTGAGAAGGAGGGAGGAGGTCAGGTTGGTGGACGCCAGGGTCTGCTGAACAGAGCGAATGGTCTGGGCTTCTGCTGATTCGGCGGCAGCCTGCATTTGAGGGGAGACCGGTTGGAGTGTTTTTATAAGGACTGTGAATGGATGACCAAAATGGGCAGCATCACTCTTGCTTCCCTGAGCCCAAGCACCTCGTGGGAGGACTAGGCAGCTCCTCCAGGAGGTGGAGTCCAACTCCCCACATTTTGAATCTGAGCTGGCTTGGCGCCTTTGCTCTGGTCAACAGAAAGTGATGGAAATGAGGCTTCGAAGACTGTCTCTTTCAGAACCTACCACTAGGTGATGACAGACGTGTGACCCTGGTACCAGACTCAATGACTAGCTCGCTGCCAGCCAGCCCACTACCAGGTATGGGTATGTGTGTGCACACAGATGAGAAGGATCTGGTGATGCTGCCCTGGCTTGGCCTAGATCTGAAGACCCAGCTAGTCACCTGGCACTCTCTAAGATACATGCTTATCTTTGTGAGTCACTGGGCTTTGGATCTATACAAGTGTTCCACAGCACCACTGTACTGAAAGATGACTGATACACGTTTAAGTAACAGTTGTTCAGCATTGAAACCTGAACTAAGATCATCACCAAGAACCATTTTGAAAGACAATGACAATAGACTGCCGGAGTCCAAGTCTAGCTCCACTACTCAACAATTCTGTGACTTGAGGCAAGTTAATTCACCCATCTGTTCCTCAGTTTCCTTATCCATTAAATGGGGTTTAATGGTATTCACCTCGTGTAGGGGTTGTGAGAATTAAATGTACTCATATATTTGTTAAGCATTTACAAAAGTGCCTGGTCTACAGAAAGGACTTGGTAAATGTTAGCTATTTTCACTCATTAACGAGTTCTACTGCCAGAAAATGACCATTACTAGAAAACTTCAAAGCCCTGTATACAATAATCAGAGCCATGATTAGCTATAACAGTGCTTACTTGAGTATGAGAAAAACATAATTGAATTCTTTAGAAACACTGAATTGAAGAACTTTACAACTTTAGAAATATTTTGGTTTACCAAATATTTTCAAAGTTTTCCAAAATTGATCAAAGACGTCATGGATAAGTGGTGATTGTTCAGCTCTCATGTGACTGAGCAACCTGTTATAAACAAACAATCTGGAGCTCAACATGCAGAGAAACTGCCTCATATATTTTGTACTAAAGACACATAATTACCTCCAGAAAAATATTTTACTAATGCAACTGTGATTGGAATGATTTCTTTTAAAGACTATTTTTTCTTCTTATGCTTCATAAAATTAGGGTTTTTTGGAGGGGAGCAGGGACAGGGGAACTTGGAGGCATCAAGCTGCCATCTACTCTCTTTAATGATTTTGAATGTTTATTTCTAGATTTTTATCACTTACATTTATAAAATCTACTATTAGAAGACACTTGAGGAATGACTTTACATGGAGAATCACTGGAGGTAGAAAAAGCCATGTCTGATGGATTCCATTTGAAGACCTTATCAGTGTAAGACTCCATCCATTGGTGGACAGTTTTCTGATTTTGTACAAAAGCTCAGGGGATGGGGTGGGGGTGGGGGCTGCACATGACTTGAGGGTGGAGGGTCATGTTCTAAAGTCTTTGGTTAAGAAGAAACCTACAAATGTTCATAATGATCTTTAAAAACCATTACATCACCCACAAAGTAGAATATGCATAGTTTTCTCCATGTAAATGACACATTATTTTTAAATACTCAAATATTTTAAAATGGCCAAGACAGTCTTGAGGAAGAAACTACAAGAAAAGTCTATACTTAGACACCTGGGCAATCACGCCATTGCACCTTTAAGATGCTCCCCTAGTGGAGAATGGAAAAGTGGATGGCTATGAAGGACTCCTGCTCACCTGCTGGTTCTACTCCTTTACAGTTTAATATTAAGCTTCTATTAATTTTGTTGGTTATTCTGAAGACTAAAAGTGATAGCTGAGTCACACCTTAAGGGAAGGAGTTCCAGGCTCTGAATGTAGTGCATGCTCAGTTGCTTCAGCTGTGTCTGACTCTTTGCAACTCTATGGACTGTAGCCTGTCAGGCTCCTCTGTCCATGGGATTCTCTAGGCAAGAATACTGGAGTGGGTTGCCATGCCCGCCTACAGGGGATCTTCCCTACTCAGGGAATGAGCCTGAATCTCCTGTGTTTCCTGCCTTGCAGGTGGATTCTTTACCACTGAGCCACCGGAGAAGCCCTCTGAATGTAGAGGCTTAAGTTATAAAGCTGGGGCTGAAATCTTGTTCCCTGTAATCCCACTCCTTGAATGAGTTCCATCCAGGACACAGAGATCAAACTTAAGCTTTCCTTCCATGATGAGTGTTATACTTGAGGACCAAAATCAAATGCCCCCAAATCCTTGCTTCCATGATTCTTTTAATTATTTAAATAGGATTTGATTTTCAGTCCTTACCATCATAGAGACAATTCACTAGAAGGCCTTCAGTTAGTCACCATTTCTCTTTATATCATGGGGACCAAAAGAGAGAGAACCAATTCTTCAGATGTGGTCTAGTCATCAAACTATACAGTTAGATGCTGCTTCCTGTGAGATTACCACATTAGCGGCTATTTCACACTTTAGGGTCAGGTTGAAGTTATTCTAAACTTATACCCCAAGGGCCATTTTAGTTGCCTGCTATGTCTCTGACTATAAATTTGGGGTGTTCTCAACTGCCCTGGGGCTTCCCAGGAGGCTCACTTGTAAAGAATCTGCCTGCCAAACAGGAGACATGGGTTTGGCCCCCTGGGTTGGGAAGATCCCCTGGAGAAGGAAATGGTGACCCACTCCAGTATTCTTGCCTGGAAAATTCCATGGACAGAGGAGCCTGATGGGCTACAGTCCATGGGGTTGCTAGAGCACAACACGACTTAGCAACTAAACAACAACAGTCTTACCTATTGAAAAAACAAAAACAAAGCAAACCTACCCCTAAAGAATTTTAGATTTATTCTTTTTAAATCCCATCCTATTGAATAGTTTTTCCAGTATCCATAGACTCAGTCTATCCATTGGGAAACATTTCTGAATCAGTTTTTAGTATCCAAAAGTAAAACTTTTACATTATCCCTTCTAAGTCAGTCATAGACCTGATCAGCCCAATCACCAATGCTATTTCCAGAATGCACTTTGAGTTACTGGCTCTTGGCTTAAATCCATGTATGGTCAATTATTCACACTCTAATGCACAAAGATCACCTATACCTGCTTCTGGCTAAGTGAATGAATAAATGATCCACTTGAGTACATGCACATTGTTACTCTAGTCACATCACTCCATCTAATTAGCCATCAAGTACACCTCAATTCTTAACATCTATAGCCCACACATTCAGTGGTTTTCTACCAATGTGCAAGTCTGCATCCAGAATCAGTATATCTCTCAATGTGCATCTTCCAGAGTCCCAGAAAAAGGCTTTGCTATGGACCTGATGAATATTTTCTCTTTCTAATGAAACAGGCAGTGTCCTAAGAACTATCAAAGACAACCTCTCTTGATCTGGTTCTGAGCAGCTGCCAATGGTAGATCTTAATACAAAGAAGAAACAACTCAGGTGAAAGAGAGGGAAAAGGGCTAAATTCTTTTTAAATGGTTTCGCCAGCAACACTGACCATGCCCTGAGGCCCAACATGGTACTTTGAGGCCATGACAAAGACAATGAAATGGAATCTCTGCGTGCCAGAGGAAATACATCAAGAGCAAAACATTAGTTCACATTATCCTCCCCAAAGCCTTTCTAAATTCTAGGAAGGCTAAAGACAAAGTTAATTAAATGTTAAAATAGAAGGTAACAGCTCATGCTCCTTTTGGATCAAGGTAATAATAATCCAGAGTGACATTTGCTTTAGAATACCAGTGCATTTTATAATACATCAGGGCCCATTGTATACTCTATGTATAATACATGTATACATGTCTCTTTTTTTAAGTACTCGGAGCATAATTTTATTTTAAATAATCATGAGGTTTATTTATTTATATGATGTGGAACAGCTTGGTCAAAAATACAACATCCTCTATTACAATAATGCAACCACTGGAGAATTTATGATCTGATGTCCAAAAATGCCTGAGAAACATACTTCTCAATTTAAATAGAGGACATTAACACAGATCTCAGCCCCTGACAGGAAGAAAAGGGCTGTTTAAGATTTGTCTAAATAGCTTCAGCCAACATATGCAGAGATCAGTGAATCTTTTGGAAACAATTTGGATTCATTAGCTTGAATGAACTCTTAATTTTCATGCCGTCATTTGAGTTATCTCTAATGAGAACAAATAAGTTTATGAGTTATTTGAGATGCTATCTGTTTGAGGGGTTGGATTCATGTTTTCAATGCTCCAGGGCTGTTTTCAACTTTGTAATGCAGAGACTGGTTGCTCTCTTACCTTAGAAACGAGGCTGGCCCTGTATGCAGCCAGGGCTTTCAGGTATTCTTTTTTGGCAGCTTCTGTTTTCCTTTTATATACCTATTAAAAGACCACAATTAGCACCACCTTTAGCATACACATTCTCAGCCATAAAATAACTGCCGTGCAAATTAGGTTGCAACAGAACTCACATAAAAAGTTGGTCTCTCTGGCTTTGATTTTTAAATGTGAAAACACACACACAGGTATTAAAACAAAACCAAACCCTGCCACCCTCACTGGGGCACAGTTTTGATGTTTACTATTACAAACAGAAAAAGATTTCTCAGCTAGCAGCAGAGAATTCATGAGAATAACAGCTGAGGGCCTCCTGTTCAGGCAGTAAATAAGGTAACGAGAATGAAATTTGTGGCAAACAGTTTAAATGATAGAATATTAACAATTTCTCCATTCTGTCTTCTTTCCCTCACACCCATTTCTAAACTGAAACAAATCAGAGGATGAAAACCCAGCAACAACAGGGAGAGCGAGTGAAGATAGAAGAGAAAAGATGGAGACCTTTCTTTTCAAGAAAAAAAAAAATCAGAAATAGTGAAAGATAAAAGATTTCCATTAGTGAGACCAGTGATTTACATAAATAAATTCCAGTATACGAAACCTGATTTGGGCTTCCTTTTCTTAAACAATGGTCTGATGGCTAGCTGTTACACCAAAATGCAACTATCTTTTTTTTCTCCAGAATTTAAAAGTTAGATGCAGCAGTTTGCCAGCCCCTTAGGATTACATTTCTAGGGTAGAAGATGGGGCTGCTGCCTAGAGCATGGAGCTCAGTGCAAACAAGCAGGCAGATTCTCCAGTAGCATCAGCCCAAGGTAACCAGCTAGTAGGAATGAGTTCATGATTAAAGGAAAGAAGGAAGAGAGAAAGAAAGAAAATCAAGGGTTTTCCATTCTATTCATGAAACAATTATTCTGGTTTACTACTAACAGGGGTCTATTCTTGTGAGGATATGTGAAATTAACACCTATGAATGGTCATTGGAATTTCACGGAAAAGACAGAGGAGAACTGAGCCCCAAGGAAGCCATTCTTCTCTGAATTTGTGTGGAGGACTTGCATAGGGAAAGACAGGATGCTAGACCCTAAGGAAGTGTCTCCCACCAGCATGGCTAATCTCAAGGCCTCTCATATGGCCACACTTTCAAATGAGCATGGAATAAAATTTCAAATGCCCATTGACCATAATAAAACACACAGAGGCGGCTTCAAAGTTTGGAAACCCACCAGGAGAACACAAGGGTTCAGAAAGATGATCAAAAAAAAGGCAAGCAGGATGGACCTAATCCCTCTGTAGTGCCCTTTGTGACCAAGGTGGGGTGGGGGTGGGGGGGTTGGGGAAATTCTACATTATTTAAAATGAAAAGATTATCATCAAAAGTTTATGCTTGCAGGATACTGCCTGGATCTCCTCCAACTCTCTTCTGAATGGGTTCTGAACACAGACCCCTTAAGGGAACTGAGAAATCCAGATAACTGGAAAGTACTTTGGAGTTATATGTTTGTGTTTTTTTAATTCCATAGCTTAGAAAAAGGCTTTCAGAAAAAGAAGCAATCATATTAAGGCAATGTATTCACCCAGAAAAGGTGTCAGGAATATTCTTGGAACATTGAATTATATGGCTGTGATGGGTCTTTGCCTGAACTTACCTGCTTTTGTTCTTCCCCGAGGCTGTCCCACATAGATGCTACGATTTTTGAGACCTCTCCAAAGGTCGCATTGGGGTTCTGACCTTTAATTGCAGCCTGTGTGTCTCTGAAAAACAGGGCATATGCTGACACTGGCTTCTGTGGCTCATTGGGATCTTTCTTTTTCTTTTTCTTTGGAGTCTTGGGCTTCTTGCCAGAATCCGGAGCAGCTCTTTTCTCTCCGATGGCCTGCAAAGCAAGATGAAAATTCACTGCCTAGAATGTACTTGAAGAGAATGCAGAAAGACTTACTCAGGTCCCTGGTTGTTCTTTTAAGGTTTTGTTAAACATCATCAACAGATGAATCACCACCAAAAGAGGGGGAAGGGTAAATTTGCTTAGTGTTAACTGGACGGCAGAGATTAGCATTTAGAACATTGATTAATGAGACCCAGAAGTATCTCCAATACATTTGCAACATATGCTTTAAATAGCAATTATGAATAATGAAAAACAGGATGCTTTGTACCAAACACGTATGTATGTGTGCATGTGTATGTGTGTGTGTTACACATGTACCCATAAACAAAATATTTTACATTTTCAGAGGTTTTAGAAGTAAACCTAAATAATAATCAGGATGTTGATCATACTCAGATACTTTAAATGAGGTCCCTTAGCCAAAGACACATACCATCATATGTATGATTGGTCTTAATTGATTTTTTGAAGCTTGGTTTCTTTTTTTTTTAACCGGAATTTTACTTTGTTAATGGTCTCCAGAAACTCAAATGGAAATTAGCTCTAATCCCTAAGTTTGCACAAAAAGGGAAAGGCCACTTTTATTTTCTAAAATAATAAAAACTTGCTAAAGAATAGGATAATAAGGAATGTAAAAGTGTCCAAATTCTAACTAGAGCTAGAAAGGAAATTGATACTCTTCATAAAATAAAAAACCTGTAAAAGAGCAGCATCAGTAGATACTTAAAATCACCAAGGCTAAAAAGAAGACGAATAAGAAGATGCCTATTATTATCTATAGTAAGTAACACTGCCACAAGAATACTGGCCTAGTGATATTCACACACATTCCCAATGAACTCTGAAATCAAACCATAGGAATGATATAGATATAGTTTACCAAATTTATATACCACTGAGCTCTAATACTCACCTGCTACCATTATCTAATTTCAAAAATCATATAACAGACTCATCAGAGAAGCAGGGGAAATGATTCATCAACCTTGTTTTATCCCCCTCTTCATCCCCTAGATTATAATATGATGACTATATTGGAGATAATTTTGCAGTTAACTTTATCAAGAATCCTGAAGTGTTTGACAAAATATGTTTTAAAAGCCAGCTCTGGGCAAGATCAACGGAGATAGATTCAAGTTACTAACAGATTGGCTTTTAATGGCCTTGAATATTGAATCTTAACTCAAATTTTCCAAGAGTATCGTTACATTCTGAAAGAGGGTTGTTTGGAACTGAATTCAATGAATAGAATTCATAGGGAAGAAACTGATAAGTAACTTTTCTTCGAGAGCTCTGAACCCTAGGAAGCCAGTAACCTCCTTTTTGGTGGGCCTGTTGTTTGCACTATTTGAGTAATAACCATACCCATACTTTACACAAGTAGCTTACAGATGTCAGTAGGTATTAAGCTAGACTTCACCTCTCCTCCAAAATGTCACCTTTCGTAACTCACACAATGAATTAAATAAAATTCCATAGACCCCCACAGTCTTTTTTCTAAATCTTCAGAATAAGTGAAACATGTATTCTAGTTAATGAATCTGAACTTGCAAACGAGTCAGATGTCTTCTAGTCAGAGTTTCAACTTGAGCCAAATTTTCCTTCAATGAAAAATATTACTTTAACCACAAGGCAAAAATATATACACAGATTTTTCTAATTGAGTCAAACTCTATTCTTTTCTTGGAAGAGAATTTGGCACTGTTTGCACCAACAATACCCTGACCAATGACAAGATGAAAGCTATTTCCAGTGTAGATTTTCCAAGTAAGAGTTCAGTTCCTTTCTTTGCAAAACAGCATTCAAATGTTGACAACCTCTGTCATCTCTCTTGGACAACCATGACTTGCCCTAGTCATCATTACCTTTAAGAATAAATCCAAAATGAAGAATCTCACAGTTTAAATAAAAGCTCAGAATTAATTCTCCTGAAGAAACTTTGCATAGTTGACTCAAAGGGCTGTGAGAAAGTGGAGAAATAGCTTTATCCCAAAGACATAATCAACAATAACGTTAATCTTCCTTTTTTTTTCAGCTAAGTTACTTAAAGGATAAACTGGATTCCTTGTCTTTACTCAAGACCTAGACCCTGTCCAAAAATGGAACAAGCTAAGAGTGACATAAAATTTTCTTTATAGAGATGACAATTTCAGATTGATACAGAGGTAAGTATTAAGATCAGCAGGAATGCGAACTAAATGAAAGGAATCCATTTGAATTGTGTAACAGCCAGCTGTAACCCAGCTATATCTTATACACATCCCTTGAGTTTATTATTTCCCACTTCACCCTGCTGAAGTCCTTGTGAGTGTGAGTAGAGACTGCTAAGCAAATTTCTCCACTCTGTGTCCAGTGGGGAGCTAACATATCTGGACAGACCAAACCCTCCTTAAAATCCCTGCCACGTTTCTCCTCCTTTCAGCTAAACTCCCTCCTCTTTTCATCACCTGCAATCTTCTCTAAGCACCTTTTCTTCCATTTCTATTTAAACATAAATGATGCTAAAGGTAAAAATAAATGATGCTTAATATTCTGGCCTTGACTTGTTCCTTACCCACTCTGAGAAATTCTGGTTACTTCTATGTGCTCCTACCTATGTGCCGATGTTTCAAAAATCTATACTTCCATCTCTAACAGACTGAATTCTAGACTCTCTCCAATGGACTGAGTTCTAGACTCAAATGGAAGCGTCTCAAATTCAACCCCTACCATGCCAAACTCTCAGCTTCCCCATGGGGGGAATAAAAGAACACTCTCCATCCTCTCCATTTACTGATATCCATGCTGGTTCTCAAACTAAAACCCAACATACCTTTTACTCCTTCAAATTCCAGGCAATCATCAAACCTTAATGGATGATTCTCTCTCTCTTGAATGTCTCACTAATCTGGTACCTCTTGTATGCCTTCCTTTGCTAAAATTAAAGGAAACAAATCATAACAAAAGGATGTTTTAATTGGTTTCCTTCTCTCTGGTCCCTCTCTTTGTAACACATTCTATATACAGCCTAAGCTATCTTTCTAAAGCAAAAAAATCTGTTTATGCTATTCCTCGATGCAAAGAATTAATCAGCTCTCAACTACCAGCAGGAAAAGGTTACCACATTCCAGCAATTTCTTTCAAGTCCTATTTCTTTCCTCCTCCATGTCACACCATTCATGGTACCCATAAATGGACATATAATTTCTTTGCTCTTTCTACCACAATGCAGCCCTCTCTCTTCTGCCTCACAAACTTTAATGTATCCTCTTAGACCTAATTCAAACATCACCTTCTCAATAAAGTCTTCCTCAAATCACTCTCCAAAGCAGAATCAATGACAGACAATCTCAGTATACCAGATACATCAGTTATGCCACTAATCACACCTGGAGCTAGTTTTAAACACTCTTATTTGTTCTCAGTGGCAAGTCCCAGGGGCAGCAATCCCCTTACAAGTCTTTGTATCACCAGAACCAAGTAAGATGCCAAGCACAGAGCAGGCGTACCACCCATAATTAATAAATGAGGGATGAGTAATTGTGCACCTAGAGTAAGTAACTTTAATGAAACAATGTTTTTTTCTAGGCATTCAAAAAAGTCAAACTGGCAACTAAGTTTTTGTTTCAAATTGGGTATATTTGAATCATGCATCATTTCCCTGACAAAAGCAAAGGCAAAACCCCTGGAACATTCTATGCGGTAAACATCACCCACGTGCAAGACTATCCAATGGGGCAGCAGGTCAGCCAACTGGCCAGATGAAACCTGTCCACCTGGATATTAACTTAGAACCAGAGCAGTTCAGAATTTCTGAAAAGTCTAGCACAAGCCTTCTCCTTTGCCGATTTAAGTAAAATTCAGCCTATTAAGTGATTAGCTCAATGCTTTACAATTAGTAGAAGTCAGATCTCCCAAGTTTCAGTTGAATATACTTTCCACAGAAATAAACAGATATAAAAGATTTAAGAAAAAATTAAACCGTCATAAATTTAAGTGCTACTCCACATCCATGAAGAAAAGGAAGGTAATATTGTGAATGAAGTTTAAACACAAGAACATGGGGTTGATCCCTATATACTAAAGGCAGTTAACTTACTCTGTTGGATTCGTCAGCATCCTCCTCGTTGATGGAGCTGGAAGGGGAGGGAGTCGCAGATTTGCTCGCAGGAGGTGAAGGAGACGTGTGGGGCACACTGGCACCTCCCAAATTCAACCCCAACTGGGCGCTGAGCTGAGACTGGTTGATGGTGGTGAGCTGGGCAGGAGGCATGATCCCAGAGCGAGCAGCATCCGTCATGTGGACGATGGACCTCATGATCACAGAGGGATCCTGGCGGTATTGTGAAACTTGTGTGTGGCTCTGATCCTAAAGGGGCAACAGAAATGGGAAACTCTTAGTTTTCCCAAACATCAGTGAGCTTGCAGGGGTTGGGGAAGGGGGTCAAAAGGTACCAACTTTCAGTTACAAAATAAATAGATCATTGCATTGCACTGTTGTTGAGTTGTTAAGTCGTATCCGACTCTTTGCAACCCCACAAACTGTAGCCTGCTGGGCTCCTCTGTCCATGGGATTTCCCAGGCAAGAACACTAGAGTGTGTTACCATTTCCTGCTCCAGGGGATCTTCTTGACTCAGGGATCAAACTTTGCATCTCCTACATGTGTCTCCTGCATTGTAGGCAGATTCTTTACTGCTGAGCAACCAAGGAAGCCCTATATACATCATAGGGATGGAACACACAGCCTGGGGGCTGTAGGTAATAACACTCTATGACATATTTGAAAGTTGCTAAGACAATAGATTATAAAGTCTTCATCACAAGAAAAAGAAAAACTGTTTTCTGTTTTTTTGTAACTGTATGATGACAAATGTTAACTGCAATTACTGTGGTGATAATTCTGGAATATATACAAATATCCAATCATGATGTTGTACACCTGGAACTAATATGTCAATTAACACCTCAATTAAAAAGATCAATGAACTTATAACTTCAGCAGCTCCTTAGATAAGTTTGACTTGTTCCAATTTTGTTCCTGATTTATTGCAGGATAATGGTCTCTATTAATTTATTAATTAGAAGGACTCATGCTAGAAAGTTGAAAGGTCAAAATCACGAAGCCCAAATTATCCAGCCTCAACTATGACACTGTAGAACTGTCCTGTTCGAGTGTGTGTGCATGCTGTCATGTCTGACTCTTGGCAACCTCATGGGCTAGCCCACCAGGCTCCTCTGTCCATGGGATTTTTCAGGCAAGAATACTGGAATGGGTTGCCATTTCCTCCTCCAAGGGATCTTCCTGCCCAGGGATCTCCTGCAATGGCAGGCAGATTTCTTTACCACTGGGCTACCAGGGAAGCCTAGAACTATCACTGGATGACTTCATTAAGTGAAAATAAAGGACTATTAGCAAAGGGAAGAGAAATACCCAGCTCTTGCTCCTTACTGAGGAAACTGATGTGTCATGTGGACGATGGACCTCATGATCACAGAGGGATCCTGGCGGTATTGTGAAACTTGTGTGTGGCTCTGATCCTAAAGGGGCAACAGAAATGGGAAACTCTTAGTTTTCCCAAACATCAGTGAGCTTTCAGGGGTTGGGGAAGGGGGTCAAAAGGTACCAACTTTCAGTTACAAAATAAATAGATCATTGCATTGCATTGTTGTTGAGTTGTTAAGTCGTATCGGACTCTTTGCAACCCCACAGACTGTAGCCTGCTGGGCTCCTCTGTCCATGGGATTTCCCAGGCAAGAATACTAGAGTGTGTTAGCATTTCCTGCTCCAGGGGATCTTCTTGACTCAGGGATCAAACTTTGCATCTCCTACATGTGTCTCCTGCGTTGTAGGCAGATTCTTTACTGCTGAGCAACCAGGGAAGCCCTATATACATCATAGGGATGGAACACACAGCCTGGGGGCTGTAGGTAATAATACTCTATGACATATTTGAAAGTTGCTAAGACAATAGATTATAAAGTCTTCATCACAAGAAAAAGAAAAACTGTTTTCTGTTTTTTTGTAACTGTATGATGACAAATGTTAACTGCAATTACTGTGGTGATAATTCTGGAATATATACAAATATCCAATCATGATGTTGTACACCTGGAACTAATATGTCAATTAACACCTCAATTAAAAAGATCAATGAACTTATAACTTCAGCAGCTCCTTAGATAAGTTTGACTTGTTCCAATTTTGTTCCTGATTTATTGCAGGATAATGGTCTCTATTAATTTATTAATTAGAAGGACTCATGCTAGAAAGTTGAAAGGTCAAAATCACGAAGCCCAAATTATCCAGCCTCAACTATGACACTGTAGAACTGTCTTGTTCGAGTGTGCGTGCATGCTGTCATGTCTGACTCTTGGCAACCTCATGGGCTAGCCCACCAGGCTCCTCTGTCCATGGGATTTTTCAGGCAAGAATACTGGAATGGGTTGCCATTTCCTCCTCCAAGGGATCTTCCTGCCCAGGGATCTCCTGCAATGGCAGGCAGATTTCTTTACCCCTGGGCTACCAGGGAAGCCTAGAACTATCACTGGATGACTTCATTAAGTGAAAATAAAGGACTATTAGCAAAGGGAAGAGAAATACCCAGCTCTTGCTCCTTACTGAGGAAACTGATGACAAGAAAAGGGGTGATGCTAAGGTCCAAGCCTTTCAGGCTCACCAACTCATTGGCCATCCTTCTTCCACATGGTACTGGTTCAATTATCCTTTCTCCAGCTCTGCAAAATGGGGAGGAGCTGTTCTCTATTTTATCCTCCCAGGCAGGCATACGCCATGTAGAAAGGATGGGCTAGAGAAACACGGAGCAAGCATCTGTTTGCTTCGGGGCACTCTCTCTGTCAAACCCTCTGTGGTTAACCAGAGGATCATTCCAATTTTGAATTACATTGTCAATGGCATCTGGAAGTCATTCCATGTCTTTAGGATTGAATATCACTTTTTTCATCTTAAACTTGCTTCGTTTTCTTTTCCTTAACCCATCTTGACTTAATGCATTAATGAATTGGTAAAAATATGTATAAGGAGGAGGTAGAGACCATCAGAATTTGCTCCTCTGAAAATTACTGCCAACACTTCAAAAGTAGCCTTCTCTGTTTTGAGGAGGCATAGAAAAGGATTTAGATTTGTTCTTCTCATTCCAAACAATACAAAAATGAAGACATGCTTTTCAAATAACTACATTTAAGACTTGTCATTTAGAGTGAGCCTGCGATATTCTTGAAACCGGTTTTCTTGATTCTCTTGACTCACAGTGACCCAGAATCTAATTTTATACATAACCCTATGAATTCTTCTTTTCAATATTTCTGATAAAGCTTATTTTGCTCTTTAAAGAAACAAATGAATTGTAAATATTGTAATGTCACTAATTCAGAAGTCAAGAGCTATCAATAGGAAACTTGTTGAATAAATTATGATCGATCATGCTACAAAGTATTATGAAGCTTTTTAAAATAATGAATTAGATTTATGTGTATTGACCTAGAGAAGAGTTTCTTCATTTTGGCTCTAATGACATTTCGGACCAGATAATTCTTTGCTGTGGGGGCTGTGCTTTGCATTGTAGGATGTTTACAGTAACTCTGGTCTCTCCCTGTGTGTGTGTGTTAGTCGTTCAGTCACATCCAACTCTTTGTGACCACTTGAACTGCAGCCCACCAGGCTCCTCTGTCCATGGAATTCTCCAGGCAAGAATACTGGAATGAGTTGCCATTCCCTTCTCTAGGGGATCTTCCTAACCCAGCAATTGAACTGGGAGATGCCAACAGCAACCTCCTTCCCTTCACCAGCCATGACAATCAAAAATGTCTCTGGACATTGCCCCATGGAGGGCAAGCTTGCTCGAGTTCTGCTGCTGCTATGTCGCTCCAGTCTGTGCGACCCCATAGATGGCAGCCCACTAGGCTCCCCCGTCCCTGGGATTCTCCAGGCAAGACCACTGGAGTGGGTAGAGAGCCACTAATCTAGAGTGATGTGCAAGATATAGCAAGTGAAAAACCAGGTTGCAAAATAGTTATAGAGTTCAGCCCCCTCTTTGTTTTTTAAAAAAAAAAAGTTTAGGGACTTCCATGGTGATCCAGTGGATAAGAATCTACCTTCCAATGCAGGGGATGCAGATTTGATCCCAGTCGGGGATCAAAGATTAGTTAGGGAACTAAGATTCCACAGAGTTGCATCACAACTAGAGAGAAGCCCGTCTACTGCAAAGGAAGGTCCCACACACTGTGACTAAGCCCGGATGCAACCAAATAAATAAATACTTTAAAAAAGTGTAAACAGTACTTACATTATACTGGATTGGATTGGAGGGGTAAAGAAGGAAGCACCTTAACTTTTCCCATTCACAAAAACACAAAACAAAACAAACAGAAACTAAAACACTATAGTTAGGAAAATCTAAAAATAAGAGACAAAAACAGTTAAAAGAGTCTGTGGCTAACTGCCAGGGTTTAATAGAAAATATACATATTTTCCATTAATAATTTTTGAGTTATCAAATTCCTATGGAATCCTGGAAAAAGGTGCTCCACATTTCCATGCAACCCCAACTCTTTTCGTCTCACTAACAAAACGCTCCTAAAATACTACATTCTCCTTGTGGGAGTCCTTCTACAGTCTGGTATCAGAAAAGTGGATTTCACGTTACCAGTGTGTCTTAATTTCTTTTCATTGGCATTCTTCACACACTTAACTATTTCTCTTCAAAAATTTGAGCAGATTGTCCACCCTTCCATGTTCTTTCAAAGTTCTACCATTGCTTGCTGGTGTTTTCCAGTCCGCCACAACTGGGAATTATGCTATATTTTTCTTAACTGTAGCCTCCAAATATATCTTTCTGAGGTTTTTCAAAGGTCCTTTCAGACTTCTTTAAACCTAACTATTTAAAAATATCTGCAGGCAACTCAGAGTATTTTAATTCCAACAGTAAAATAATTAGTTAACTGGCATGGCCATGAAGTATCAGGATATAATTTACACAGCCTTCTCATTAACCAAGAAGTCACTTTGCTTTCTTTACTCCCATGCCCATGAACATCAATACTTGACAGGTGCATCCCAGACATACACTATTTCAGAGGAATCTCATGGTCACACAGAAGGCCACGGGGTTAGACTTTTTGACTTTGTCTACTCTTCCTGAATTCCACCTGCAATTTATACCTTTATGATGGACCTGGCTGCCTAAGAGCTCCTGTTGATAAACAGCCAAGGTTCATGGACAAGGAACATTGTGTGTTTCCTTGGATCTGGGACCTGTGCTAAGCTTAGTATGCACTTTCCAATTCAATCCTCTAAATAACTTCCTGAATTAGATACTATTGTACCTATTCTTGGATAAGAAGGAACCCCT